TGTGAAAACAACAATATGAATTTTACCTTTTCATCCCACTGCCACACCTTCCACAGGTCATTGATGTTTAACTCTGGTTCCACATATTCTTTCCTGTAAAAAGCTATGAAGGGAACCTAAAAAAATACAAACATGGTGTCTTTACAATAGCAACACATTTTAGGTACCTTCTTTAAAACAAGATGAGTAGTTGATTATATCATGAAAATTGTCACTTAACAAAGGAAAAATATGAAAGAAGTTCATCGAATGAGTAAGTTGAGCTCACTGTACCTCAAATTGTTGATTCCTCATAAAGTTGAGGGCCTCTTTTATCTTGGCAATAGTGCTGGGACCTTTCCTGCTGAAGTTTGTGGTTGTCCCCCTGTCTAGGTAATCTGTGCTCTCCTGTTTAGGATCACACACAAAAAAGGTTGTGAAATGTTAAACAGAAGATGAATCTACATCATTGTTGTGTTCCTTGCGTGTACACGCGGGGATGCGTCATACCTGCATGGATATAGTAAGAGTGGAGAAGCCATGTCTGAAGATCCACTCGGCTTCCTCCTCCAGCTCATCATCCTCAGCAGGTTTCACCGGGATGGAGCGTAACTAGAAGGTAAATGACAGAGTCAACAAGACAGACACTCAGAAAGACAACAGCACAACATTTCAAAGATTAAATAACAATTCATTAGGTTGCCCAACCCCCGACAATAGTGTAAAGATGGACAAACACACACACCTGGAACCTCTCGGGCATGTCTGTTGTCCGGATCTCATTATCCTGGTCGGTCATGTGACTACTTTCCAGCTCACTGGGCTCATAGATCTCAAAGATACTCTTCCTCCCCTGCCTCCTCTTAGTTTGTTTCTTAGGTCGGTCCCAGCCCTCCTCATCCTGGTCCTCTTCCTCCTCCTCACCCTGGTCGTAGGCGTCCGCATCAAAGTCGGCGAAGTCAAAGTCGCCACCGAAAATTTCCTGGGCCTCCTGGAGGGCTCTGTTGGAGAATTAATAGTGATTATGTAATTTTCTATGTTTGTATCTTATCATTTCATGTTTATTATCTCATTGTTTACTGATGAATATCAATATTTTAAACTGATATATTGGGGTGATGCTCAAGTCCTACTACATAAGTCAATGTATAACAAAACAATGATACATACACCAGTAGAATTACTGTATAGACTACAACACTCACGTATCTGTGTATCCTGGGAACTTCTTCCCCCTCTTTTTAGAGATGGGCTGTCCATCATCATCTACAATAAAGTCGCCTATATCTGTGAAAGAAATGCAAAAATGTAAAAACTTTAAAAAAAATCATTTCAGACTGAGTTGAAATGACTACTCTTTTATTTCCAGCCGTTTTAAATAATTAAACAGATCTAAAAAATCCCTCTGGCCTACCTGACTCCTCGTCCTCTCCCTCTTCATCGTCATCTGCATGTTGGAGAGGCTCATCCACAGCTTCTCCTTCCTCCAGCTCACCATCTCCATCCCCATGAAAGATCTCATCTGCAATGAGGTCTTTCTCATCGTCATCATCATCGTCCAGTGTTTTTACACGGTCATATTTCTTCTTCTGAAACACAAAACAAGGACAGCATTTTTCAATTGTACAACTGTGAGAGAATAGGTAGAATTGTAGCTACACCGTTGAAATTGTAATTACACATATACAATAGAAATGAGAAATGAGTCTCACCCTCCTTTTCACTTTAACACCCAGGTTTTCTTCAATAAGGTCAAGATCATCATCATCCAGGTAGTCATCATAATCTGCAAAGAGGAAAAGACTTAGTCAGAGGAAACAGCTTCAAGTCATGTTGTCTTATTACCACTATGAAAACAGTGCTTCTGTTCTTGACACATGAGAATACTTAGTGAGGACATTTTTAAGCATGGGGATGGACAAGAATTAGAAATAACTCATGATTTAAAAAAAAAAAATAGAATCCAAATATTCAGGCTGTATTTATGCTGCAATAAATCGTCAAAAATATGACAGAGGATTATTTACCACACCAGCAGAGATCTAACATCAAGCACCACTGGCTTAAGTTAATGCAACATACACACTAGTGCATCTGGCTCCACAATATTTAGAGCTGAAAGAAGAGGAACATAACACTGTAGGCAACCGCTTTTGTTTTATCTGCTCAACAGATGCAATAAATGTGTTTTAACTACTGTTCAACACAGTCCAAAACGAAAAACCTATAATGTTATGTAATTGCAGAATTACAGAATGGTGGTAAGTCATAAATTGGCACCTTAATAATCAAATATGTATTATAGTGGAAATCAGTTGACTCAGATACCTTGAAAAAAAAACACTACTATGGGGTAAGTCAATTACTTTTTCCAGACCAAGGTACAAAATGAGGACCTGATCAATAATCAGCTCAGAATAAGGTTTGTCTGTCGCCAGGTTCCGGATTTCCTATTAATTATCTAGACTGTGTTTGCCCACAATCGTGCTCTCGCTCTCTCTCTCTCTCTCGTACAAACACATTTATCAGTCTGACATAGTCATACTGGCCATAGGCAACACCAGGAGAAATTTCACCACATTAAAGGTCTGTCAAAATTTTCCAGAAAACCACCCTCAACAGCCAGAGAGGACTTGCTTTAACGCTGATAGTTTCTGTTGTAATCAGTTCTGAGCAGGCAGACCTCAACTTATCCCGTCACTAGGGCTTAGTTTTGCAAGAAAGTGTATTGAGCTGAGTCACAAGCAGCCCCTGATTTCCACTGATGGAAAAGTGAGGGATGGAGGAAAATGTATTCTGTTGATTGCAATCTGTAATCTCACTGCTCCATGCCACTAAATCATACACTGACCCTTTAGGAACACCTGATGCACTTACTTCGCTTTTTTCGCCGATGTCTCACTTCCTCCTCTGAGTCGCTCCCCGCTCCACTCCCACTTTTTTCAGCTTCTTCCCCCTCCTCCCCCTCCTCCCCCTCCTCGTCTCCATCATCAATGAGTCCACGCAAATTCCCCCGCTCATCTTGGTCCTCTGTGTTTTCTTCTTCCTCTTCATCTGTTGAGAGATGACAGATACGTAGTCCAACTATCACACAAGCCCATCTCAGGAACACAAACCCCAAATTAAAAGCTTCAAATCTTACCATCTTCCTCCATAAACCTCTGGGTTTTTTTGGGCTTTAGGTCCTTCTCTTCAAACTCCTCCTCTGACTCCTCGGCCTCGCTCTCAATGAAGTCTGACATGACTGCTGTTCCTGGGAAGAAGTTTGAAAATAATGATGTCAAAATCCCTCAACAGAATCTTGGCCTTGGTTTGTTCTACTACACCAAACACATGCAGTAATTCACATCAGTTGTCTCCCATTATGCTATCATTACATTTTCACTTCTTATCACCCTGTTTCTTTTAAATTTACATTTAAGTAACAGAAAGTTCCCTAAACTTGAACAAGTTGTTCAAGCTCTTTCTTAGTATTACATGATAGTGTGAAATAAAGAAAACCGAGGCTGCACCATTTGAACAGATGGAAATATGCTATTTGTATAGTTCTTTACTTCATGTGCTTTCTGACATATTTAGTGTCGCTCCTATAATTTCAAGTTCTCGTGGACAATTTAGGATAAAGTGATGATTTGGGTTTGAATTATCTCTGACTACAAAGCACGATTTTAGAGTGATTAGGAAGAGGTCAACTATACCTGTATGTTTGACCTGTGTGATTATAACAAATACGCTTTACAACATTAACCAGCTATGTAATCAAATGGTTTATTTACATGTGTTCTTAAGGCAAGCACGTGCACAAAGGACGCATTAAAGCAACGCAACGTCGAACACTCACGTTTCAATATTTACTATTATTGACCCGACGATTGTTTTCACCCAACGAGTGTTTTCTTGTGAGTACATCACATTCAGCTGGATTTATGTGGCAAGACTCAGGAGTAAACCTACGCCTAAAGATGTCGCATTGCGCACACACGACACCGTCGATGGCTAACACAGCTCACGCGTCGTTTTCGCACAACGCAGCTGCGAACACACGTGTGATGTTTTCTAAGTTCGTAGCTGAGCTTTCGCCTCCAACACATTTGAGTTATATTGAAAACCCAGCTCAATACCTTTAGCTTTGAGCGAGCGGCACCGTTCGGGCTAACGATGGCGATGCTAGTTAGCTAGCGAGCAGCCTCTTGCCGAGGTGCTGCTTCTTTGTCCCGCTGTTCCTTTGGAGCCGAACACATTAACTACGATACCAGCAAAACAACAACCGGACCACACTACATGCACCGTGACGGGAAACAAGCCGAGGCCTCTTGGCGTTCGTTGAAGACTTAGCACATCCCTGCGTTAGCCTAGCATTAGCGGTCAAGACAACAACAGCTAGCGGCGTTAGCGCTAGCTTGTTAACCCCTGCTAGCTGAGCACAACCGTCGACACTTCCCAACGGACCCCGGGAGCGTTTGAACTTACACGTCGGCCTCACAGTGGCGGTATATTCCGTCAGTGTGTACAGTGGTGACGGGGCTGTGTTGTGTTTGGTGTTTCTGGGAGCTTGTGCTTGTTAAAAAAAGAAAAATGGCCGACAGCGAGCGGCGTGATGACAATTCCGGGATGTGAGTGAGGGAACCTCCGGAGCAGCGAGGTGACGCCCCCTGCTGGTCCCGGTCGACTCTGCCTGTATGTTGATGTTTATTATGCAGACGAACAGCTGCTTTAACTTAATACATGTTTCTATTGATAAACTATCAACAGCCACAAACCTTTTTTATAGAAGGCAAGAACTGCAAATACTGAAACGTGCTGCATATTGCAAAATCGACAATTTGCAAATGTTTTTTCTATTTGCATGTGTTTTCTTAATTGGCACGTTTTTTAAAATTAGCATTGTGCTCTTAATTCACACATGATAGTTTCTATTTGCATGTGTTCTCTTAATTCGCACATGTTATTTTTTATTTGCTTGTCTTCTCTTAATTCGCAGCGCGTTGAGCTCTCTCGGCCACCGTCCCCTCCGAGTCGCCGGGGGGCGCTGTCTCCCGGACCTCGACCTCAGCAGCCTGTGCCTCTTTAGTGACGTAGCGAAAAGACGCCACACAGCTGAGGTGTCTCTTGTCTCCTGGAGGAATGGGTGAATCACTCTCCGGCTTTCTTCCAGCTCTGCTCCTGGTTCTGTCCGGTGTGTGTGGACTGACCGTCGGTACCGAGCTGAGCTTTGTGACGTGCGGCTCCGTCCTCAAACTGTTGAACCTGAAGCACAATGTGAGACTTCACTCGCACGACGTGCGCTACGGCTCCGGTGAGTTTCTCCTCCCATTCATAACAGTCGTGAAGCTGTAACTCACTTTTACATCACGTGTTTTCCACCTCCAGCGGCTTCACGTGTCATTTAAAACCTCCATAATCAAGATTATGTTGTGGGATGAACGTGGCACATGGATGAAGTCCATGTGCAGAGGCTCACTGTGTCACTGTGACATATGGTTAATGATTATTGTTTAGTGGTGAAGCTAGTTTCACATTCATTATCGGGGGAATACGATAATTTAAGGTGAAATACATAAAAAAAAAAAAAAATACAGAGCAGGATATGGTGATTACAATTTTCCAAAGCATCCTCCCTTGTTTAGCTCATTTCCAAGACTTTAAATCACACACACACAACTGCAAAATGTCAAGGATGATGACAGGATTCAATTGTCAACTGTCACCTCCAAGTCTGAAGATGTCTCCCACAGCCTCCCAGTTTATCTCCCTCGACTTGTTACCCATTCCAACAGCACGCCCATGAAAGGCTTGGATTTTCATCACTCTCTATTAGGGTTGCAAAGGAGCGGAACAATACTGAATAATTAAAGTGATCGAAGTGCGTTGAGGTAAATAATACAGACATACATTATGTACAGTTTAGCTGAATGAAGAATATATGTACAGGACCAGGTAGCAGCAGACGAATAAATACTGTAGCGTATGAATAGATATATATGCAGCAGACAAATATAAACAAGAATATATATATATAAGAAGCCAGGCTGCTCCATCCTGAATAAGTTGGAGGCGAGAGAGTTACTTCTAATTTATGCCAGAGAGAAGGGAGTTACAGCAGAAGAGTCTTGAGGACATCAATGTGTGATTAGCTGAGATCTAAGTCCAATATAACTCCCAAGGTTATTGCTTTATATTGGCAGATAGTGGAGCGAGGCTTTATTCGATGAGGGTGTTGTTTGTGTCTGGGGGACCGAACTGTGTAATTCCTGATTTTGAGTTATTGAGTAGAGTACATAAGTATAATATACCACAATGAGTTTCTATGGCCACTAGAATGAGCCCTTAGATAGAAAGTCAAACCCACTTCTGCTTCTGAAATGATCTGTAGCTCTGTTATTCCCTCTGCTCACTGTATGTGCTTGTCTGTGTGAGACAGGTAGCGGGCAGCAGTCTGTAACAGGGGTCACTGCAGTGGAAGACAGCAACAGCTACTGGAGTGTTCGTGGAACCGGTGACGTCTTCTGTCATCGTGGTACCCCGGTAATGTGCGGGCAGACAATCCGCCTCACCCATGTCAACACAGGCCGAAACCTGCACAGCCACTACTTCACCTCACCGCTGTCCTCGAATCAGGTGGGTGGAGTGAGAAGTATAAGTAGAGCTGAGTTTTGTGAGATCAATCTAAATGAAGCACTACTACCCTAATTGCAGTAATAATTCTAATGTATAGTCAGGGATGTACCAATAGGGTGCCTTTCCTATTTGGTGATACAAAGACCAACATTTTGAGCTGGAGGGGATTTGACAGAAGCTTTTACACTTCAGGATCTGCACCAAACTCTCTGGGAGATCAGCCTCGGGTCAGCAAAAACCTCTCCAGTCTTAAGGAAGCATGACAACACTGTCTGCCCGAAGTGCAATAGGATTGGGAGATGTGGACCGTGACATGATAGCAACTGCCACATCTGGTCTGGAAGAGTCTGTCAACATCTCTGTTGTACCAGGTTATTTAATCTGTGCAGTTTTTCAGCAGAACATCTGCCAAATCCTGATTTTTGTCACTGTGACAATATAACATTTTACATACACAACCCTCTACAACAGTGTAATATGCACTGTGGTCTGTCTGGCCTCTTTCATCCACTTTACAATCAGTATCAAAAGAGAGGGTGTATATTGCTTTAGTTTTGTTTAAGGAACAAAAAGTTTGGGAAAACCAATCTTGTCTGAATATATAATTTATATAAAGTGGGGTCTGTGAGAGTTGCAAAATGTAAAATCCCAAAGCAAGATAAAAAAACAAAACAAGCACTAGGATGATTTGTGCCTAAAATGGAATAAGAAAGCTTCCAACGCACCTCTTTTCCTTGTGTTCTAATCTCTCTCATTCGTCCACAGGAGGTGAGTGCCTTTGGTGAGGAGGGGGAAGGGGACCACCTCGACGAGTGGACGGTTCAGTGTGGGGGATCCGTGTGGAAACGCGAGGAGGCCGTCCGCTTCCGTCACAAGGCCACGGAGGCACTGCTGTCAGTGACGGGGGAGCAGTATGGACGGCCAATCCACGGTCAGAGGGAGGTTCATGCCATGTCGAGCCCCAGCCAGCACAGCCTTTGGAGGGCCATGGAGGGCATCTTCATGAAGCCCAGCGAGAGCCCGGCGGGCAGCCGAGACTACAGTCACCTGCACACAGAGTTCTGATCTTTTCTTCCCTTCTTCTGTCTCTTCTCATTATCCTCCCTGTCTACTAGGGCTAAACAATGTCCCAAAAATATCACATTGCATTGATTTTGAGAGATCTTGGAATACGAGTCACGATTTCTGCATTGAATTTTCCATGAAACAAATATAAACATAATGATAATGGGATTTGTTTTTTTTCTGGGATCTCTCTCAAACAAGCATGTTCTCTTACAACTGGAGAATGTGATTTGCAGGTCGGGTTTCTCTCTTTCTCTAACACCACAATTATTTATATATAATAGTATGTTATGACATATTTATCTTAATGAAAAAATTGGATTTTGCACTCGGCCATATTGCAATTTCGATAACATTTCAATGAATTGTTCAGCCCTAGTGTCTACCTCTGTATTCCTACCTCTGTCTATAATTACATCTGCACCAGCAGCCACCAAATGCATATGTGTCCTATGTTCCTCTCATCCTTCTCCCTCATTAACCCCTGACTGTCGTTTTTTGAAGAGACTGTGCCAAAACTCTGTCATGGATCAGGGTACAATTATTTCATCCCACCAATCCAGACCAACCTCTCTGACTTTCTGACAGTAGTGTTTCAAAATAAATGTCCACGTGTAAAGTATACGTGGAGATGAATATTTGAAACACTATTGACTTTTTCAAATAACACTATAATTTGCCTTAACAGGCACATATAGAAATAAAGGTATTAAAATGCAGCTTCTCTGTATGAAGACTGCACAAGGAGAGATTTTCTTCACAGCTGTTATTTATTGCTAAATAACTTCCGTCTGCCAGCACACTACAACACAGAAGGCAGATCAGTACATTGTGTTTCGCTGGACAAAAAAAAACATTTGTTACAATTGTGCCTTTGTTTTGTTTTTAAAAAAAAGGAGGTGTTTACATTGTGAAGCCTTTTAAACTTTTGGAAACGTAAGAGTTTTACTGTGTTTTTATGGTATTTTTAAGCCATATTCTACTCAAACAGTGATAAGCAGTGTTACTATGGTAAATTCCTTTTTTCCCTTTAACTCAGTGTAGCATTTAAATAATCCCGCACTAACTGACGTGAGAGGATAAGCAGTTTTGTCCTTGGTGGTAATTCTTGTTTTCAGCGTTCTACATCAATGAACTGCTGTTTATTGTCTTTGTCAGTGTCCGTGTGCTGGGAGAAAGTGTTTCATGCTGTCTGTACGAGCGTATGCGTTGGATCAACTCTTTGTTTTGGAGGTTCATGTGACGAAATAACAAGCCTGCAATGAATACCTCATATTAAAGAGATTTTTTTATGCACAAATGTTTTTGCATTTTCCACTTTTTTGTTTATTCACCACGACCAATGAGTGACTCTTTACAGGGAATCTTTTCTAAAAGATTTCTAAAATCAAAACCCTTCATTTTACTGACAAACATGAAAACAGACTAATGGATTTACAAGCAAGTCGAGCTGTTAACGTGGCTGGACCATTACATTCTGGATGATGCCTTGTTTGTCTGCCTAATGGCATGTTTTGGCTCATTATCTGCCAGTTAATGTGGTTGAGGTGCAGCGGCTATGGGGTTATTCTCACTTGTGTTTGACCTACGCTCCCTATTTATTATGATTTAGAGTGAGCGTGGATGCCAGCACCGTTCCACAGGAAACCTCAGGAAATAGGCTGGCAGACAAGTAAATTAATCTCATACTGTGTCGAGCTAAATAGAGCTGTAACATTTTAAAGACAATTAAATGATCTCAGCTCACTGGGAAATCAGTTGATGGTTGATAAACTCACAGTCTCATGAAGAAGCGTTCACATCCTTAACTTAAAACACACACATTTTGATCCAGTGTGCCACAGCGACAGCCCGCTTATAGAACAGCTCTGGTTCTGGAAGTAAATTTCCAGTTTCTTTTCTCCATTGACGTTTTATAAACTCCTTATAAAAAGAGTGTTCAGTCTAGAACTGGGTCAACCTGCTCTGAGATGAATCCTGACCATAAAACCTATAATTCAGAGCAAATGAAAAAAAAGGCAAAGGTGCAAGACTGGGAACATAATTATTTTAAGAATGACGGAAGTACGTATCCCATAATCCTTTGCAAATGATCCCTTTCCAACAACTTTCAGTGCACTTTTTACCTTGTTGTTAATATAGTGTTGTAATATATTGTAGTAATACATGATCTGATCTGTTGGACTATTGTCCCCATCTCTAAATTGCATCATGTTAGAAAGGTGATAAACTAATGTAACATGGTACTATAATGGTAATATTCGCTCTTGTTGTAAGGCCTCTGTCGGTCTGGATGCTTTATGCCGTTAGAAATTAAATGCTTTCATTGCAATCTTACCATATTATCAGCCAAGTTCCACATTCCTGAGTGGAAAGTGCTGACAACTGAACCTTCTTCTTGTGTTTTTGAGATACTCATCTCATTTGTGAGATCTGACTTTGCTGCTTCTGCGGCTGTTCCCTTTTATTCAGTTCTTTGTGTGTGCGCTCGGGGAAACTGCACTGAAGTGAAAACCACGCTGTGTTGTCATTCTATTTTTAGGGCTGGTATTTAAAATGACATGGCAACGGTGATAACAAGTGACAAGTAAAGCAACAGCCCTAATTTTACTCTTATTAACAGCCAGGCCCATATATTTGTCTCCAGCAGCTCACTGTGATGTAGACAGATGCCTTGTTACCTCAGCCGGATGTCACATTTTCACTCCTGTTCATTGTTTGTTGGCAGGTTGAGCAAAAATTACGGATCTCCACAAAACTTGGTGTAAGGATGGGACATGGGCAAAGAAAGAACCCAGTACCTCTGCAAAGGGAATTTACCCCCTGTCCGTTTGTTTGTTGGATTGTAAGAATATTTAAAACTACTGAATGAAGTATCACAAAGCTTGGCTGATGGATGCTGTATGGATAGAAGAAGAACCTGTTAAACTAATCTGGTGTGGATCCAGATCAGGGGTCGGATCCTGGAATGAACACACAAGATATGGCAGTTTTTGACATTTTCACTTTCCCAGGAAATATTTCGTGGATCTTAATGAAAAAAAAAATCCATTTTACGTGTGTGCAGTTTGGTGCAGCCTGACTTGTTTTAAGGAGACTGTTGGGCCTTGGCAGACTTATGCGCTCTAATGAGTTATTATAGTTTATCACTTGCTTTGCAATCTACAATTCAAACAACCTCAGATAATACCTGGATCTTAAATTTAAAAAATCAGGCATATTAAGGAGACTGCTGCTAAATGTGTGTGAAATTCTATTTAAGAATATTTTACCTTTTGTGTTGCAGGATAACTTTTGTCGTTATTGTATCATGTGTTTTAATTTGAACCTGATTTATTGCAGAATCCCTAATCACAAACACAACTAACACGTATTTCTATCAAAACAAGGTTTTATTGCATAAACATATATGGATATATTTTTTTTTAGATTAAACAGATTAAACTTGTTATTTGCATTTTTAAATATCCAGTCAGTAACTATTGCTGTTTTCTTTCACCTTTTCTAAGCAGCATGCCAAGGTTGTATTACATATCTGTGTTTAGTTTTTATTTCTATACAATCTACAAGGTAAAAACATGTTTTGGTTAAAAACAAATCTCAAAAGCAACTTTCAAAAACATGAAAATCGTGAACTGATCCCGTCCCGTCACAGATGCACAGAATAATAATGTAAACTTCAAAAGTGTTGATAAAAGTTTTTTTTCAAATGAGTCTCCGTTACATGGCCACACGAGGACATGTGAATGGCACAATTATTAGAGAATCGTTACGATAAAGTGATCTATGCTGGTTTCAGAAGGACCATGGCGCTAATAGACACAGGTGAAAACATGGTCCGTCGGTCAAATGTTAATGTGCTGAGAATATCAAAGACATGAACTGACTTACACGGATAAGTGTAGCTAACTTTACACAGCAGTTAATACAGGACCATGAGGCAGTGGGAACATTCCATAAAAAAACCTAATGTGACTAAAACACACAATATATTGTATTCCATGTCAGTTTCAAACATCCACAGTGAAACTTAGAGACTCTAGATGATGTGAAAAAGAGATGACGATGATGATGATGACGATGTGACCTTGTATTTGCATATTTATGAAAATGTCCTCCCCTGCACTCTGATTTGATTAATAGCTGGTAGAAACTAGAAAAATGGCTGTTACAGTATAAATTGGAAAGTCAGATATGTGACAGTAGTACATACATTTAATTGAAATCAAGGCTGTGCCTCCACAAAGAAAGGTTAAATGGATTTCCCTGTCTTTCAAAGACACGGAAATCTAAACAACAACATGCATACTGATTTACAGTATAATACATTTTTGCTGTTATACTTGATCTTATAAAGCAATTTTTTTATTTTTAAAGAAAGCCCTCTCCCCTTCTTCGTAGTTTGTCTAATGCAGACAGTATATAACTTCCCATGGTTGCTCCTCAGTTTGATTGAAATATTCCGTTTCGCTTTCATCCAGCCCAGCAAAAGACAAGAGACAAAAAAAGAAATTGCTCCTGGGAATGAATGGAAATGAAACAGTCTTTGAATTGGAACCTAATAATGTTGTAATCACGAGTAATGAATACCAATAATGTATAGTCATAATATTAGTGAAAATATTTTGAGGACATCTCTTAATATCACAAAACGATCACATAAAACACAATGGAAATGAAGTGATTCCACTGACGCTTTAAACTTCAGGTAATTAAAATTTCAGAATGACAATTTGCTAACAATAACAGATTATAAATATATAATCAATACAATACAATTCCAGTGACGGTAGATAAACAGTGACATCTCTTTATTGCCCTGCACCACATTACAAAAAACGTCCCCAAACATTTTCAGCCTCAAATTGAATCTGTGGTGTCATTTGGTTCTTCAACCTTGGGCGGCTCAGAGGAGCGTAAATGTTAACACCGACAAGGTCCTCTTCAAAATGTTTCATCCCGGTGCACTTATTGAAATTGTAGCGCTATCACATCTGAACCATAAAACTTAGCTGTGACCCCAGAAACGATCGAAGGCCCCTCCGCTGTCACCTCCAGTCTCTCATCTATTCCTCAACTGTGCACCGGGTCCGACAGCACAACTTGGGAGAAAAAAAATCTTTGTTTTGCCAATTAAACTAATGAACGTTCACTAATTCAGACCAAACTGCCCTCGTGACACCGACACAACACACATCAATGCTCAAAGTCTTGTTTCCGAGCACCTTGTAAACATGGCTGATCAAGCGTTTGGGGTGCGGTTTTCATCTGAACCACTAGGATGCAACCTTCTCCTTGCAAACAGCAAGTCACAGCCCTACTGAGAATCCCTGATATGTCTCACTAGTTTCTACCCTTCATACATTCTGCTGTAGAAAATAATGATACATTACACAAGCTAAGAAGCAATGAAATCCAGGGGAAACAAGAGAAATGTCCGGTATGGCAGTGTACATACTGGTCTTGTGTGGTTTGTATTTGCCGCAGTCAATGAGATGCTGAGGTGAAACATTGTCTCCCAACACAAAAATAATTTATCTCAGCCTGGTTAATATTACAGAAACCACATCTCAGATTCTATATCTCCTGTTATTTTAATATATTTTACACCTGTTGGACACTGTATGTGATCACCACCGTCTTTAACACACACGTTGAGTGACCAGTCAATCCATCAGCACTACATGGGACTAACCAGTAGAGATAGCGGGACAGTCGGTCCCTCACTGAGTATTGAGTTGTGCTCCTTGTCGATACACATGAATGTTCCATGTGCCCCAGGATCGAGCCGAGGATTTAAATGTTTCACAAAAGGTGCGATGTTTATACAAGACGACAAAGTGAAAAGTGAGGGATTCACCATGCATTTAAATACTGTGTCCAACATTCAGTGCCCACATTCATTCAGTTCACATTCAGCGCAACTTCTCCGGGGTAAATATTCAGTTGTCCATAATAACTCTAACCTTTTTAAATCAGTAATGGCTCAAAGCACCTGATACACATTATTTTTTTGTAAATTAGAAAATCAAGTTTTAAAGAGCGGTCTTGATCTTCAAAACAGAATAAAAACTAAATAACCCAGTTTTCAGGTTCCTCATGACCGTTAAGTCCACTGCATGGTGATAACCACACTGCAAAACAAATACATCTCTCTCCATTTAACTCACGTTGTCTGTGTTTATAAGTTCAATCTAAACTTAAAAGAAAGAATACAACTTGAACTGATTGTTTAGAGAAGTGCTTGGGTTGTGGCTGGTCCAGCTTTGGCTGCAAAGACAAGATGTGAGGTCGTGGCTGTTCTGTCCACTCCTCATGCTCACAGTGCAATTGGTTATTCCATGCCATTCCGCAGCATCTGATTGGCTGCGATGAGCATGACACTGATGATGAAAGCCATTGCGAAGGCGCAGATCAGGCTTTTCCTTACGCACGTCTGCCGATTCTTCTTCTTAGGATGAACTGAGAGAGGGAAAAAAAACAGTAATAGTTTGATTGACACAATAGATTTTCTGTGTAATTGTTAATTCCTGCTTTCAATCAAGTTGATTGTTTCATTTGTTTTTTGGAAAGTGATGTCACATCTGCGCTGATCTGTGCAGTCACTCTTTCAGCTTTGCCTTCATGTGAAAAATGAAGCTGGGGTTTATTTGATATATTCTCAGACGATCATCATCCATTACAGCAGTCCCCACAAGAAACTGAAACCTCTGAAACCTCCATTATCTGAGCGAAGATTGTGACATGGAGTCAAAAGCTCTGAAAAAGCTATTAAACGGACCTTTGAGTTAAAATCGAAGATGATCGAGAATGAACTTGTGATTGCGTGAAAGAAATCTGAAAAATCCTCCAGGTCTCCGTCAGATTCATGCATTTGAAGGAATTTTAACCAGTTTCTCATGGTGCACCTTCGTTCACTGACTCAAACAAAAATGGACGAAATAGCTGCTAAGGTTTCCAGCGCTTTTGCTTTGCACCTTATTTCTGTGACCCAGATCATCAGTGGAAGCGTCTGCGCTGTGAAGACAGATGAATACTTGAGGGGCACAGACTGGCTCTAATCCTCACTCTGCTGCAGCTAAAACAAAGACGAGAGTAGGGAGGTGGAACCTTTTGTTTTGTTACCTATTTGTTTGGGCATCTTTCCCCCCCATAAGAGCTGATCTCTGGAGATGGAAGGAGGGAGCAGAGTAAAGACAAACTCGTCCTCCCACAGGCCTTGCTGCAAAAGCAACGCCCAAAAGTCTCCTCTCTGTTGTCCCCCTTGTCTCAGTTTGTTAGAATCACACACCTCATCAATAAATCAAGTCGGAGCTTTGAGTCGTAGATCTGAGAGGGATTGTGAACACTGCTGAAGTCCCACTGGACACGAGGAGGATGGCAGCAGGCATGAAAGGAGGAAGATGAGGATGTGGGACGGGGGTTAAAAGTACGGAGGGATATAGCTGTCGATTACAAGAGAGGCTTTACACCTCTTCATCCCTCCTTTGCCAACTTCTCCCCTTCCTACTCTTGTTTTTTTCCTCTCTCTAACTCCACAGCTTGCCCTTTCCTCAACACCAGAAACTTTGTGAAGAAGAGTGCGATGCCAGCAGTTCCCTGATCCCTCCTTTAGCCTCTTATCGCCTCCTTCACTGTCCCTTCGCTGCTAAGTTTCTTAATTTCCTCCCATTTCCTCCACCAATCTTTTTAGGGCTCCCAGAGACTGTAGGCCAGCACCCAATGGATTCATTAGGACTTTTCTGGCGCAGTTGATCTGTCTTTACCTTTGTCCTAGTCGGATTTTGTGGATGTTTCACAGCAGAAGGGCTATTTCTAACTCTTACTGACACAGGGTCAGATTTAGCTTTTCGTTTGTCTCTGCTCCGTAAAGCAACATAACTTCTAAAGCTATAAGAGAAATTGATTTTCTATTTCACTTGTGTGTTCAAACATTAGCAATATCAGACTGATTGACCTTTCTCTTAAGATCAAGGCCTCACAGATGGAAGCTCTGTGTCAGATGGTGCAGTAATAACAGGATTAAATAAAGGATTTCACCTTGAAATTTGTCAAGCAAAACCTTGACAGTGGTTTAAAAGAGTCTGTTTATGAGCGTTATTTTTATCGTCCTCAATAAAACTGTTGTTTTCCATTTTATTAGGTCTATGAATGGAATGAAGAAAGCATTTCTAGCACGTTTCCCATTGCTGTGTCTGCAATAAATGTATTTATTTGTCTGTCATCTATAATTTTTCTTTTAATATTTTTATGGCTGTAGCTATATAGCTAACAACAAGCTAGCTATTCCTAATCATCCCAAGTAAACTCTGATTGTCTTATTGTCTTTTAACAGCAGAAAAACTAATTGTAATAGTTTAGTTCAGCTCTGGTTTCAGCCAACGGAGTCTCCAATCGTCAAATACGTGAGACACAAATAAACGTTTAGGTAACGGAGGCGTAGTATCGAGGTCCTGCTGCGATGCGCTCAATCATCCGCAAGTCAGTCTCAGCTGTCAATCATGATGTTTCACCATGTTTTTATATTATCAAATAACTTATTAAAAACTCAACACTTTCACATCTGTTTGAAGAGAACTACCTAAAAATAAAGACACCATATTTTAGAAGAGTGTTTTTTGACTTTATAGTTTGCTCCATTCCCATCTAGTAACATGGAGTAGGCAGGGTTTATGTATTGTACTGCAGCCAACCATCAGGGGGCGATTTGGCTTCACTTTTGTGCAGCTGTCATGTCGTCCATCTTTATACGCAGCCTGTGATTAAACGTCTTGTGTATTACAGTACAGGATTAGAGGTATATATAACTGCTAAGTATCCATGAAAACAGCTTCCTCACCTCCCTCGTACTCAGGGCAGTTCCCTGAGGTTTCGTTGAGGCTCTCCTCCTCGGTGATGATGATGTTCTCGATGTCCTTCATTGTCAGGTGGTCCCGGAAGGCGTGGAACAGCACCTGCTTCAGCTCATCCAGAGACAGCTGCTGCATGTCAAACTGCAGGGGCACACAGCGATCAATGCAGACACTGTCATCCACAAACCGACTCGAGAGCAGATAAATATAGATATGATAAGATATGGATGAGGTGTGAAATGTACTCGCAGTAAAAAATGATTGCATCTATGAATGTGTGCTTCATTGCCTACATGGGCACTACACAGGGTACAGTATGTAAGTAGGAGAGGTGTCAGTTGTAATGTAATGGCACCGTGTTTGCTTGTGCATCACTGCTGCTATTTTTGGGAGCCTGAATCAGTATGCAAACCTGCGTGTGTGCACTGATTTAGTTGGATACAAGCACTATTGATTTAATGGACGTATCAATTAAAATGAAAATACCAGCACATTAACTTCATTGTAGGTGGTCGTATCCTCAGGTGTGTGTTCATGTTCATATTTAAAATGACTTATGAGGCTCTGACCCATCTCTGACTTAAAGTGTGAATGTCCTACTCAGTGTCTGCCCTTCCCAAACATCACGTCCCTCCCACTTGTCTGCCAGATCCCTACTACAACCTATACACACACAAGCATAGCATCCATGTCTGTGATTATTACTGACAGACTCATTTACAATCAGTCACTTGGTTGAACACAACAGATGGACATACTGCAGCAGATGAGGCAAAGAGGAAGAGAATAAGGGGTCAACAGAGAGTCGAAGAGAGATGCTGCAAAAATGACAAAACGGTAAGTATGGCGAGGTCAGAGAAAACTGAGACGATGGAAGTGGGAGACACAGATGGAGCAAAAACATAACTGGCAGACAATAGTGGTGGAGACATAAGAGTTGTGATGGTGGAGAAGAGATGCTCATTTCAGCGAGGCGACTGTAATCCTGCTTGAGCTTCATTGCTTTGCTCGCTAAATGCGAAACAGCGTCTTTCATACTCAAACACCTCGGGTAGAAACAACAGATACAGTTTTGCATAAGCTGCTTTCAGACACGCACTGATGTCTGGATCTTTTCCTGAAGTTTTCCGGAGGGGCGTTACGTGACAATTCAAACTGACCCGAGCAATCGCTTGTTGCGTCATCCCGTGAAATCACATGGTGATATTTTAGTTTTTCTACATGTTATGTCACATGTTACCTTTGGATAGAGGTTATCTGTTTCCTCCTGCTTCCAGTCATTATGCTAAAGCTAGCTCATCAAAAAGTATTATCTTTACCAGTAAATATATTTATTTCTCTTCAGGTTTTTAAGTGCTTGTGATGACATTTAACATTTGAAAGTTATTATTTAGAGAACATTCCTCAAAATAAGGTGCTGTCAAAGAAAGGCTTGGTGCTAGTAAGTGAACTCATGTGGTTCTATGGCACTAGTCTAACCAAAATGTATTAGTTATTTCCAACTAAATTTATTGTTTTTTCCTTTTAGTATCAGATATTAACACATCAACATGGGAATGAAAAGGAATTATTGAATTAGAAGAAAACTGTTCCTGCAGAATGCATCCATGCACACGCAAAGACATTTTTCATGTGCACATAACCTTTAGTAAGCTGTAAAGTATTTTGCATGTTTGCTTTTGTGTGCAATCATGTCCAGCCATGACATTATTCTTGATTCCAATCAAACCATTCCTGCTGCATGATTTATACTATAATTATGAACACATGCATGTGCACACACACACAGAGTAAGAAACCTGGGACATTGTGGTAAATAGAAGAATAATTTCACACATGCACAGATAAACACATTCATTAAATATTTCATTTTCTCTCACTCATACACAGACACACACACACAAGCACTCAAACACACACTGTGTGGTAGCCAGGGTAAAAGAGAACAACCCAAAAGAGCACGGAACCAATATAATTTAACATTTCACAAACTTCGATCAAACAAAAACATTTTTCCTCTCGTATTGAAAAGGCGAGCCTCGACTCGGAGGCTTTATTGAACAGCAAACAAAGCAACGTGACAGGGGAACGATAAAGATGGAGGGACGGTCTGAAACAACAAACAGCATCATGTAAACACCTAAACCGGCATGAAAACATAAACCAAAGCTAAATTAAGGGTTGTGACTATAGACTGTGCGTAAATACACAGCAATAAATGAGTGCAATCAATTGCAAGTGAAACTCAGCTGCCAATCATTACGTTTCACACCATTTTTAGATCAAAACCAAAACTTAGCTCAAAAATTAGCACTCAAACATACAATGACCTAAAATGACACTAATCCTTTTGGAGAAAAATGTATTTAAAGTGTATTTTGACTTTGGTCTCTATCCTACCTGCTAACGTGGAGGAGACAGGGATTATCGCTTGTGCTGCAGCCAGCCACTAGAGGGCAATTGAGACAATTTGGCTTCACTTTTAGAGAGCTGTCATGTCGTCCATCTTTGTATAAAGTTCATGTTTGTCGTTACTCCCAGTTTGACTGAAATTGAATAAACGCCTCAACAACAACCTACTTGCTGTTATTAATATTTTCACATCAGGAAACACAGCTGAAAGACAAGCAATCATTTCAATAATAATTTTTATAATAGGTTCTGTTCTTAGTACAGTATTATACTTCAAATCCATACGGTCAAACAAAAGTATTGGACCTTTAACTGTGACTCATGCAACCTTGTGTGCCCCTCCAGGGCAGATAGGCAGGGAGTGGCAGCAGCAGCTTGAGGGCCTGAGATGCTCGATCGCTGCTCTCCTCCTCACCACAGCTGTCTCTGTCTCTGGCTCTAACGGCTGCAGGGAAACAGAGGAACAACTCTTTGGACTGCAGCCGCAGGACAGACAACATGACGGCTCAGGACAGGAACATGTAGAATGTACAATGTTCCCGTCTGTCTGTTTGTGGAGAGATTTCTCCTCCTGTCTCTGAAGGACATCCACACAAACACAAGCACACACAGCGATGATGGTGAGAAAAAGACACAGGAGTTTGTCCATCAGAGCATTTTGTCTTTCAGTGACAACAAAAATAATATGTGTGTGTGTGTGTGTGTGTGTGTGTGTGTGAGTGAGTGGGTGGGTGGGGGGGGGCAGAAAAACGGCAGGGGATCGTGAGCAGTGAACAGTAAGATGCTGAAGGAGCCAGGACACATCAATCAGTGGAACAGGTGCTTAGCGCCGTCCTTCCTGTCTCATCCTGCCTGCACTCATACAGCTCAAGCTTGTTTCGTCAGTCCACCACCTGCTTCGTCTTCTGACCCTTCTCGAAAAAGTCACAAACTGGAACTTTTGTGTCTGTTATTCTCTATTTTCCTCCCATGTGTGCCAAAGTGCTTTAATGAAAAATAATACAAAGCGTGTTTATCCATGTGCCCTACATGTGCAAACACACATGCACACAGAGGAAACATGCTGCGTGAAAAAACTGCAGGTAAGAGAGGTTATTTTTAACAAACACAGAAGAGGCTCCAGCCAAGTACGAATGAATAATAGATTAATTAGGTCCACAGAAACAGAATCAGTCACAGGAACTAGAAGACGTCTCCTAAAAATAGATTTAGTGAATCTAAAACAAAATGTTGTTCAGTGGAGCTGATGAAACAGACGAGCTGCTCAGGTCACTTTTCAGACAACAGTGTTAGAATAATTGCACTTATGGTGCTGCACTTTGGAGGAAACCAGCCACCAAATGGCAGCCGTTATGTAACACAGAGACACCACATTCTTTAAAAAACAAACTCTACATTTAGCATCACTGCTCATGAGCATGAACATCACACACTGACTCAACAGATGTAGACGTCACTGGGCAAATACTTCCTCCTGCTTCCTCCTTCACTTTCTGTTTCCGCTGACAGAAACACTGGCAGCTGGTCGAGCTTAAAATCACAAGTTCACGGTAGAAAACTCTGTATCGACTTCTCATTTACAACATAACGTTTGACACAAATTCGAGATATTCAAGTAAGTTGAAGGGTCTGTCATTGATTTTCAACGAGTTTCACCCTGAGACTGTTTTGAAGACGGAGGTCAACCGCCACTACTTTATGCCTCTGCCTTAAAATTATTAAACAAACGAAATAGGCAACTGATATTTTGCAGTAAATGCGGTTCAACATGCTTTGGTGGTCAAAGCTCTGGACGATAATGTCTCCACATTCAAGTGTCCTTGAACAAGAAAAAAACAAAAACCTCGGACACCCTTCAGGACAAGAAGCTTCTGCCAAATGATGATGTGAGGCCACCGACAACATTTCCCAGCTATTGTAAAATGATAAAGGATTCCGCAGATCTCTCTCCTGCAGTTGTTCCACACAAATATATGTCTCACCTTATACACACTGTTATGAGCTGAAAATGACTCTTTGGGCACTGTGGCTTAATATGCAATGGAAGACTGGGCGCTTCCTTTTTGACTTTAATTTACTGACTGTCAGCAGAAATGGGGTAACTTGAGTAAGGAGTTTTTCAAAGCTTAATCTCCCCTAGGTTCTTACTGCGCCCATGCTGGAGCGGAAAATAAACAGAAAAACAGGAATGTTTCTCAGATATTTCACACCGAATCAAAGAGGAGGGACACACACACAAAATGTATTCAAGACAGACACACAAATACACACACGGAGGAAAATGTAATTACACAAACACGTCAACACCAGCCTCCCTGATGAGGTCAGTCATTATACATCTCTCTGTGTGTGAGGATATTACCTCAACTGAGTCATTATGGCCCAACTTGATGTGCCTCCTTCTCTTCCATCTTTCTCTTCTCAACACAATGACTCTCCCTCTCTGCCAGCCTCCCTCTGAGGTCTGTGACACACACACACACACACACACACACACACACACA